ACCCCTCGTCCTTCAATAGTGGGGGATAATTCATTCTTACTCAGCAGGACAAGTAAGATTTTTGAAATTTTATACCATCTCTATGGTGCTTCTTCTAATATACCCCCTTATAGCCCCCCCCCCCTCCCCGTCCAACTTGGGACCCTGGCGCAGGGTCTGCTCACTAATGTTCTCATAACTTTTGGTCAATCCGAAGTAGAGATCGCACTTTCTAGAAACTTATAAAATAAAAAAGATCTAGTTGAAAGGAATATTTTATTATTGTTTTGCAAAGATTAACACTATACAATTGATCATGCTTCTAATGACTTGTGGTAATTACAGTAAAACATATATCAAGCAAAGTTCGGGTTTAGACAAAATTTAACAGGATTTTTAAAAGATTTTAAAATTGTAAAAATTGAAAAAGATAAATAAAAAGAGCTAGTCTGATATATATATATATTAGTTATGTTCAACTTCAATTAAAATTTAACTAAATGTAGGAAGTTGTAGAGTTTGTGAGTGTATTCAGTTGAAATCTGATTTGTCTTAGCAAGTTTCTGATAAAAAAAAATATTTGTTAAGTAAAGTTTAAATATATGATGCTATTAAGTTTTGTTCATTTATTTCCAAATCAAAAAAACTAAATGATTTGTCAGTTGATATATTCTCTGTAATACAACAATAATAGCTGCCTTGTCTTAGAATCTCATACTTCAAAAATGCAAAGTGTTGCTTCACTTATTCATAAAAATATTGCCGAAAATCATTTGTCGATATTGACTAGTGGTGAAGTCGGAATTTTGGCTCTACGGGAGCTGAGCTCTCCCTGCAATCACCTTTTTTCAAATCTGTCAAAAATAGTACAAATTTTTATCTGAGGCTTCCTGAGATCAATGCTACTTTTAGCTTCTCGAAATTCTATTGACACACACACATTCCAGGCTTTTTTAAAAATAAATCAACAAATAATAAAATACTAATTCAAAGCTTTATATATCAAAAACGTGTGGATGGGAGTGTAAGAAAATAAAACATACTCATAAACAGTAACAAAAAGTTGAATCTCGTTTAACTTAATATTCCGATTAGGATCCATTTGTGTACCATTTCATCTGAAATACTCTATTATCTGTATCCTTCGGATAATCTGTGAAATAGGGCTGTGAAGGTGAATCTTGATTTGTTAGTCTCACATCAAGAAGACATGATTTTGATGGAGAATTTTCTTTATTTGAAGATGAATTTGTGGGATGAACTGCACGTACGTCACGTGAACTACAGTCAGATAGAAATGTGGGGTTTAAGCGATTTGATGTGAAGAAAGGAGCAGGCAACAACGAAGATGATGAACATAATTGATTTGAGTTCATGTGTATGGTATTATTTTCTTCACAAGATTTTTGATTAGATATGATAAAATTGCCAAGAGTACCATTCCATTTATTCGAATTTCCTTTATCCAGATTGTTTTAAACTCTTTTCCAAATAATTATTCGTTTAAATTAACACACTATATTAATTAAGATTTGAATTTTTCTTCTATTCTCCTTTCAAACATTCTTTTATTAGTCTATTGCTGATAGTCAAAAGAATGAAGATGACACAGTTTTATCTTCATTAACGAATAATGTCGTACAGTAGTAATGTTATCACTATTGTCAAAACTTGAAGAAAGGGAGTAGCAAAAATTTACTATTTAATCATGTTGAAAAGACACTTTGTTAAGTAAATCTACGGCATATATTTTGAAAATCTCTAGTGAAAAAAATATGTCATTGTAAAAAATTCCTGGGAAACTCATCAGATTTCTCCGGAAGCTTAGCTCCCCTGATCCTCTGCTGGCTTCACCACTAATATCAATACATAATAAATCATCGGTGCATACATTACAATATCAATAAGCAGGGATATAACCATGAGCAGATGAGGTGTCCATCCTCCATTTCACTCTTTTCTTTTCGCCACATCCTAGTGAATAAGTGGAAATGAATGCATATTCTGTTTAGTAAAAAAAAAACAGATATATGCTATGCTTTCTAAATGCAAGCGAAAGCTATTTCGTAGTTTTGTGTCTAATGGAAAAAAGAATTTTACCTAAGTTTAATTTTGCCTAAAGTTTAACTTTGCCTATGCCATATACAAAAAAAAGTGTTGTTCGTAACTCTGAAAACACGAAAACTCTCATATCGGTCAGTTTTTTTTGTTGCTCTAGTTTTTGCATACAAATAATCTGATATTGATGTGTATCACATCGTGCTGCTCCGTTGAATGGAGTGATAATAACATGTCTCTATACAAGTAAAACGTAAAATGTTTTAGCAATTTCATAATCAATGGAACTCAATAAAATAACATAACTTTTATCAACTGTTTCTCAACAAGATAATTATTATCATCATAAATGGTACTTAAAGTAGTTCTTCTTCGAATAAAATTGATTTTATAGAGAATTTGTCATTTTTTCTTATAATCGAGATGCATCTATTATTTTTCGTAACATTAACATGATAATATTTCTACTATCATAAAAATAAATAGAAAAATATCAATATATGAAAACTAATATTTTTGTACCTTTTTATGTCAAATATAGATCAATCTTGATTTAATTTTTAAGACATTTATGTTCATAGAGTACAATAATACTTGCATTGATATTTGTACAAAATAAATACAATTTCAGAAGAAACAGTCATACTTAATTTATTAATGCTTCATCAACTGACAAGCTTCTATGACGCAAACATCTGTTTAGAATAAAAATTCAATATTTTTAATATAGACTTTAGAAGATCTATGATCATAATTAGTTCTTAACTTCTTAAGAAAATCTTCCATTATATGTATTCGCAGATAATATTTATCGTTTCATTTATTAAGATAAGCAAAAAAAGATTTTTTTTTTTTTATATATTTTCAATGATGTTGAGCGATAAATCCAACAAAAAAAAAAAACTTTCATATATTCATTTTATCGTGTACAAAAGTTGGTAAAAGTTTATTTTTCGGTAGTACCAGTGCTCATCAAATCACGACGTTTACGTCCGACAAGATAAGAGGCACGTTTACCAACCAAATATGTGCCACGTTTGCCAACTAAATAAGATGCCCGTTTTGCTTCTGATAGATCTTCATCTAGAAATAATAAAAGAAGCAACACAAAATAAGCGTTTTGTTTTCGTTCATTTACCACTATCATATAAATCTTCATCAGATGCACTTGTATATCTTTTGCCTACCCAATAACCGTTAAGATGTTTTCGTTTTTGCAATAGAGCTGTAAATTGTTCACGTTCTTTATTAGCTTGTACCATCAAAACTGTCATACCAAAAAGTACGATAAATATATATGCGATAATTGATTGATATTGCATGATTTTATAAACTTAATTGTTTTATTCGAATAAATGAATTTATATAGATAGTTAAAGAAAAAAATACTTTGAAGAATTGCTACGGACACGAGATGAAAGTCAATAATCTGCAATAATTATATATATATAAATCGGCAAAAAAAGAAGAAATAAGTTTTATAAAAGAAAGAAAATGGAAAATTAAGAAAAAATAAGGCAATGACGTCTGTGCACGCATACCTCTAGGCGTTGATGCATTAGACAAAGATATTATACCTTTCGATCATGTCCCACTATGTTAACGGATGAAGAATGGTTGAATTTTTTTTCTGATAATGTCTTATATAATTTTTTTATATTTTAAAGTTACCGTTCCATTTAGGTTTTATGAAAGGCTTACTATACTTAATGATCCAAATTTAATAGAAACGGCACAAGATAAATGTCTAATAATTTATTTTAATATTGATTAGTCAATGTCATTCACAGCTCATTAGATGACAAGAAAAAACTCAAATATTCATTACACTTATTGCTTCTTTTTCGATTGCTGGAACAGAAAGACAATAAAAAATAATCTTTTTCTTATTACCTTTACTAAGTACTTACGTTGATAAAATGTCCAATGTTGATAGTCTTAGTGTATTCTGATAATGATAACAGTAGTTATTATTTATCTTTTGGTTGCACTTTTTGGCTTATTACATATATACAAATAATAGCTTTGATTAAAAATGAATGAGCAATTTGCTGTTCGGTCTAATGCGCGTGTGTGTCGTTTTCAACAGAGATTTCTCTTTAATCGATTTTTAGCTCTTCTTTCTTTCTCTCTCTCTCTTTCTTTCTCTCTCTCTCTCTCTCTCTCTCTCTCTCTCTCTCTCTCTCTCTCACTTTCCCTTTTGTTATGTTCTCTCCTACCCGCATTGAGTCGTCATCATTACTTTGCCTCGTACGATTTCTATGTTTGGCATTGGTGTAGGCAAGACTGAATTAAAAGACAAGAAAGAAAGGCAATGAGGAAAGGAGAATGTTGCGATGTCGAAATACGATGAATTGAAAATTATTAATGATTGAACGTATTAGTTGATCGAAGACAAATTTTTTATAATGGACGATCAACCGAGTGAACACAAGAGTAAAAGAAGCTATTTTTTTCTTAGTGTTTTTTTTTATGCATTGCTTTGTTTTTAGCTGGGTCACAAAACGCAGAACATATATACATATATATTGAAGATAATGACTATAAAGAAAACAACTACCAGAAACGTTCAATCAATGTGCTAATCAAAGTGACTGTGTTGTTCTTCTTGTATTGAGCCTTGAAGTCGTCGAGAAACGGAAAAGATCAACTGGGAGAAAAACGAACCAAATTTGTAAAATGCATGAGATTGTGTCAAGTGTGCAATGATAATAGACAGTTCTTTTTTAATCAACTCTTTGCACTCAAATTAGATGCAACCAATTACTTTTCTTAAAATAGTATATAGAAAAAATTCTTTGTTAATTCCCGATTGTTTTGTATTTGTTAACCTACCAGTAATGACTAATATAATTAGTTGAATCTGACTTATACCTTAATTTTTTTCTCTATAGGTATCAATTTACATTCCATCACATTTTTTTTCTTTCAATTCACACGTCTTATAATAAAATTTGCACATTAATATTAGTATAAGACAAAAAAATAATAAGTCTTAATATCATATTTTAATTATGGATATTACAACACTTTTTAATTCAAAAAATGAATTTTATGAAAATCAATCATTAGTATTTTCACAGTTAGAAAAAAAAGTTACAGGAAAATCCTTTTCTTGTCTTCTTTGATAAGTGCGTTGTCTTTTTAATTCTGTTCAAAAATTTTTTTTAGATATTTCGAAATAGATGGATTTGTTTGTTTAGATACTTGATTAATTTGTTTTACTAATAAATCGAATGTTTGTTGAAATCTCATTAATGGATTTATTGATAAATCATCGAATGTCATTTGACGTCGTTCATTTAAACGTTGAGAAAAAAGCGAAAATGATTCTGTATTACTATCATCAGTTCGTTGATAATCATCAAGAAATTTTAAAAATATCATTCCTAAACAATCAGAGATATATATATTTTTTTTTTTTTATAAATAAATTAATCATACCATGAATAAATCCTTTAAGAAATGAAACAGAAGATGTTGGCTGCACTCTAAGAAATCCTTCGAAATGAAAATCATCATCGATTCGATTTTTGTCTTGTTTATCTTCATGATTTGTTGTTGTCTGTTCTGAATCAGCAGATACAAGTGATTGAAGATCAATACCACTATCATGATATTGAAAATAATTTGAACATATTGAAAATTGGTCATCATTTGTTTTAATTAATATGTTCTTATTTTTAACATAATCTGGTAAACGATAAAATAATTCTGTAAATACACGTAAACATGCTTCACTAACAGCTATATTAATTAAATTTGAATTTAATTTCATTAAACGATATTTTATTATATATTCAAGTGAAGATTCGAATGTTTGTCGAAGATTGAATGGTAATGAATATATATTATCAGTAAAATCTTCAATTGTATCTAAATCAAGATCAACATGTATTGTATCATGATCGAATGTTGATGGCATATCTCCTATTGTTTCATATAAACAACCATATATATAGGGACATGGAGAATCAACCAAATCATGTAACCATGATGATGGCATTAATGAAACAAATGGAAAAGGCCATATAAATGGATAAATTAACAATGACAAAGCAAGACAACATTTTGATAATTTTGATGGATAACGTGAAAAAACTAATATACGTTTTGAACATAACATTGATTCAAATAAATAAACAATATGATTTGGTGATAGACATGAAAGTAATGTAGAATAATAATCATGATTAAGACGATTATCACGAGGACATGTATAATAAAATATACGACGATCATTGAGTATACATGATATACCTGATGAATTCAGAGTAGGAACAGGTAATGGTTTCGAGTAGAATGATTTTATTAAAACATTACATTGAAGTTCATTTGAGATGTACACTAAAAAAAATATAGAAAAGAAATGATAATAAATTTAAAAAAAAAAGACTTCGATTTTAGAATTCCAAAGAGAGAATTTTAAGTATCCTACTACATAAGAATGTATATCATAATCTTCAAAAACTTCTCTTTACTATAATTGATGATTATCAATCTGATAATGTAAGCGATTATATTTAAATTTATTGTCAATAATGATCGGTCATTCCTAGTGAAAATACTGATTCAGCCAACATGACTTGCTAACATGTTTACTCAACTAATCTGATGTATATGTGAAATTTTTGTGTACACCAGCAATAGTACTCATCCTCGTTTTTTTTCACAGAATATTTAGCAAAACATTTTTGTATTATAATGTACAATAAAATAGTTTAAATTAATAGAATAAAATAATTTAGCGTAAATTAATTGAAAAATAGTAAACGTATATTTTAATAGCGTAATTGCTTTTTTCCTTCATTTTTTTTCTAATGAATCATTCAAAATAATTCAATAGATGGTAATCTAAAGAAAGGAAAAGCATTTTTTCATTTTCAACTGCTCATTTCTCAAGAAAAATTGAATATTTTCTTTAACGTATATATATGATAACTTGTTCGATTTCATTTCCTAGATTGAAGTAAAATTTCATTTCCTAGATTGAGAGAAAAATATTTTTCTACATTATATTAGGCTATACTTTGTTTTTAGATGAATAATGAAAACCAATGAAACAAAGAAGATGACTAATTAACTTGTCTTACGAAACAATTGCAATTTCATATTATAAATACATATATGCATCATACACTATAGATGAATAATTTTATTTTATTTTTATTTCAAATAACTAAATGAAAGACATTCATCAATTTAAAAATACCAGCTTGTTTTTTTTTTTTTGTAATAATCAAAATTATCTATTTATTTCTTATAGTATTTATCAATGTCCTTGAATAGTTTATTGCTCATTTTCTTTTACCAATATTGTATTGTTCTGAATACATGTTTTTGTTTACGATTGCTTTATTTTTGAAAAATGAAATGTATATCTCTATTCTGTATACAAAAAATATGAAGATAAATTATTACTTCTATTTCTTAAACTAATCGTATGTCGTAAGTTTTCATTCTATCTATCTGTCTTTTATTGTCAGTTTTATATTTAAATAAAACAGATGTAGAGTACAACAATATTAAACAGAATATACACTTATGAATGTTCGTAGTATATTCTAGTATAAATACTTTACGAGTACTCACCTTTGAGTATATATATATATACACTAGGAATGTTATTCTTTGTGCTTTTTAGCTAAAATGCTTCACAAATTTGATTGATACAGGATAAATTAAATCCAAAGATTCTATATTGTTCTTTTTTAACAAATAAAAGATTTCTTGTAAACTTTTAAAATATGTAAAGTAAGTAAACTAAAATAAAAAGAAATCTTATGTTTTATCACTTTAATAAGTCATGATAGATTACTGATAATATATATGCTTATGTAAAGTCGAATTTATGTAAGACTTAAAACTATGAAAAGGAAATATTTCGAATCGTTTTTTCTATCTCAATATGAGATGAAAAGATGACATGAAATACAAACAAAAAAAAAGAAATGCCTCATTGAATGATGATATATTAGATATTATATCAAATTTAATTGTTTTTTTTCTTTTTTTAATAACTATATTATACGAATAAGATAAATTTTCTCTTTTGACATTTTACCTTTAGTTAGTTCTTTTAAAATAGCATCGTAAAGTTTAAAATTTGAATAAATCGAAACTATAATTAAATAAACAATATATATCATTTTTATAACACGAAAAGAAAATATTTTGATTATTACCTATGCAAAATACAATTGGAAATTTTGTCATTTGATTATAACCTGTTGTTAATCGTCGACAATAACCATGTTCAACTTGTCCATTTGAAAGTGTTCGTGTAAAAACATATGTTGATGGATCAGTTAAAAGTTGTCCACTAGTTTTTTGTTTAGAATTTAATTCAGGAAAACAAAATCGTTTATAATGTGAAATTTCTTCCAGAATATTTACATTTACATCTTCATGTGGACAATATTCAAGTAAAAGTTCTTTATCAACATACCCATCTGATAATGTCATGATAAACGCTAATTTAAATAGATGAGTATCTAATGGTGAACATTTTGATGATATATCGTCACCTTCAAAATGTCGATTGAGATCTTCTGATATATTTGCATAATCAAATGTATAAGATGACCGAATAGGTTGAAATAATTGTGCATCAAATAGAGAACCATTAATTATGAAATCATTTTTATTTGAATCTTTATTATTGGCACTTGTATTTATTAAAGTCTTATTTGATCTAGATCGATGATGTAAAATTGCATTTAAATTGGAAGATAAATGGTGTAATCCAAAAATGTTCTCTATATCTAAACTTGTGAATGATTTAGAATCATCAGTTTTTGAATTGTTATTAAAAGGAAAATGTAATGAATAAGAAGTGAAAAATTGACGAGCATTGTGCTTTGATGTCATGATAATTTGTGATTAAACTTAAAATAGTGTATTGCAAAAATATATATCTATATAAAGGGAAAAAAACCAACGAACCATGACAAATGTTTAGAGCAAGAGGAAAAAAGGTAAGAAATTATCATGTTTCTTCGTTTTGCTTCATGATTTTTGCTTATTCAGATCGTCATCTGTAAGGCTTATTTTTCACTATTTGCGTTATCATAATGGAGAGTAAATATAGTCATAAAAAGAACAGAAAAATATTTACGCAGTTTTGCTATTTAACGATAATAGGTATTGCATAAAACTTGCTACGTAGTTTTTGTTGTTTTGTTGTCGATGTACTAGTAATAATCAAGGATTTAGATATGCTGTTATTTGTACAACCAAGTCCATGTTACTTTATTGGACTTTATCAAGCTTTAGGAGTAAAAGTAATCATTGTCCAATATATAAAATGGTTTTTGATATTCTTTTGATATTTAATTCGAATAGAAGCTTTAATTCTATTCTGACATGCTATAATCTGTATCTTCTTCAGATGCTGTTATAAGAATTTTCCTCTTTATCTATAGGATTGTACCACATGTATTTATATTCCTCTTCTTTTCTCTTATTGTTAGTCATGCATCATGGATTTTTTATTTTGCTGTCATATATGTATATGTCATGGTTTTTTCCTTTCTCTCATATGTATATGTATGTGATGGACATTTTCTATCCCTTTTGATCTTCTCTCTTTAACTTTGTTTTATGGGGAATTTTTTTTTCTTTTTCATAATCTACAAGATTATCTCAATGTTATCTGCCTATATGTTATTCGGCACATTGTTTACAAAGATTGATTTGTTTTGGAGAAAAAAAAACATTTATATAAAGAAATAAAGTAAAGTGGGATCAAAGTTCTACCTGATAACATTACTATAAGTATATTCAAACAAAACTAGACGTTGAAATCTGTTTTGACGAAAATGAATAACAATATAATTGCATTCTTACACTGAGTTGTCGGTAAAATTGATTTCATTTACCTTACAGAATACTTGAACTATTGAAGAGTTCTTTGTGATCACAATTTTCTGATTTGCAATGTAACAATTGCATTAAACTATATGTATTCAATAGGAATAAAAGCTTATTTCAATACTAGTGAAGAATTTTAAAAATTGTTTTCTAAACAACGACAGAGAACTTCGATTGAAGCATTGTTCGAAGAAAATGTGTTTTTGATTTGATCATATGATTATCATAGTATTAATATTTATTCATTGAGAAAGTAAATCGATTCGTTTTACCCTTTAATCATTATGACACTGCTAGTGAATAGATTACTTGATAACTTTATATTTAAGACAGTCCTCACCACTATCATTACGATGATCGATTAACGCTTACGATGGTGTAAACGTCAAAATAAAGCATACCTATGCACCGCACCGTAGTTCACACGTTTGGTCGAGATAGTATTATGGTCATATGATGTTGTATCGTATACAACGAAATACGTACATCGTGTACACCCACATACGTGCTGTAGCACGGTTGTACTTCCATGAATACGGCAGTATACACTAACATAAACGAATGCATGTCCGCGTAATCAACCGAGTTTAGGTGTGGATGAGGCGTGTGTATATGTAAGTGTATGGGTAAAGAAAGTGAACATCCACATCTCAGGTCCACATGCACACCCTCCACTAATAAACTTCCACAATTATTGCATTAACAAAAAGTCAAATAGCAATAGTCATTGATAGGAGTAGTTTCTCATGTAGAGGATAAGAATAAAGACTAGAGATATCTATTTGATAATGCGCATTGATAACTTGAACCAATATTCATGCAAAATGTCATTGAACTCGATTGCATCCAATGGCGACACTGGAGGATGCAGACCTCCCTCAAGCCTTAAATTCTGACCCTGTTACTGCTTGTATCACGAATAACTCGAGTATAAAAATAGTTAGTACTCTACGATTTTCAGTATTTGAAAGAGGTCAAATAACTTTATCCAACCACGTAAAAACCAAACAATCAAGTCGTGGTCAGTACTGACCAATTGTCATTAGCCATTTTCGAAACAATGCTCATAAAAATGTTACCATTACATATTGACTTTTAAGATAGCCATTCGATAGAAAAACAAATCAAGACCTCTTGATCTACGAAAGGCTGACTATTCCAGATGGTTTCGTTCCCATGTTATGAGTATTATTCTAAGACCGCTGAAATCGATCAGTTGATCACTAGTCATTCTGTAGTGAGCTGATATGGAAGTTTTTGATCATTTATGAAACAAGTGATGATGTTTGTTTTATTCTTCAAAACAACATGAAGTTATCAGATTGATAAATAGATAGTAATAAACCAGAAAGAAATTTTCGATAGCTCATGATACAATTATGACTAAAGAGTTTCGTCTAGATCTAGTCAGTTTTTATTTATTTAGACTTATCGAGATGTGTGCAAGTAATGCAAAAGACTTGGAATTAATTCTTGTCTCATGCAATCTCGATGTAGTCACCACGAAGAAAGTTCGAGATGATAACAAGTGAAAACTTGTATGTATTTATATATCGTGAACTTAAGAAGTATTGGAACTGAGTGACGGATTATCGTATAGCAATATTATTGCTTCTCGTTATTCAATTGTTAATTATTTGAAATGATGATGAGATAGTCTCGTTGTTGATTGTTGTCGGTCAATGTTTCGTTTCAAATTGAATATGTGCAGCTACACGTTCAGATTATATTGAGGAAGATAATCGATTGATACAAAATAATAAAGGCTCTCTGCATTGTCACCATGTTAAAGCCCTAGTCGACGTATTGAATACATTCCTAAAAACCGATCATTCGAAAGAATACTTGCGAGTGCGGTGGTTAAAGGAAGACATAGATCCTTCTACTTTGTCTCACGGAAACAGAAACAAATTAACTTCCTCGATCTCTTTTCAATTAATCACACATGAAACTATTTTAGTGGTCAATGTTTCAATCGTTTGCGAGTATATTACTTTTTTGAATTTTCTAAGCGTTCAGTTGCTTTATGATCATGAACCTTCAACAAAGACGAAGGTTGGAAAAAAATGTAGCTTCTTATATTTACTGAAATTATTCTTTTTCAGAGAATGATCCGGCTTATAGATATTAGGATAGCTTTTTAGTGATCTTTATGCTACATTCCAATGGAAGAAAAAATGTTCGAACTCATCCGAACAAGTGTTATATGAACTTTACTCCTGTCTCTACACCAGTTTCCTTCGAAATGTAATAATCGAACATTGACAATATTTTTCTTTCTTCATACCGATTCGTTTTGTTACCGCTGTTATTTGCTGTTTTATACACGAATGCCTCAATAATTTACTTTCGCAACAACAAGAAAAACGTCATAGCATCATATAAATTACCTGATGATTCAGGTGCATCATAGTCGAATGTTAACTTTCCTGTTCTTTTTCTATGGTAGGCAAAAAAAAATAAATGGCCAAAGTTAACTGAGTGAGTCAGTTTTTGACTACCTATCGAAGCTCTTTCGAATAATAAAAGCAGCTACTCGCACTTATCGCATATAAGAATGTTGTCGTTTGTGCCACATCAACAAAGAAACAGAAGAACAGAATGTAAAATGCAAAATGCAAAATGCGATGAATAAGAACAAAGGGAATAACACATATTACTCATCGACGGTAAAAATTTCCTTTGACGATTTCACCAAGATATGATCGTTATCAGTATAATATAAAAAGCGAACGGTAACTATACGGCTCACATTACTTGTTTTCATTAAATATTTGTCAAATACAATGCAGTTCCGATTTGAGAAAGAGACAACTATTGAACAACGTAAACAGGAGTCTGCGAAGATTCGCACCAAATATCCTGACCGCATTCCGGTTGTCCTTGAGCGGATACACAACTCACAGATATCTGACATTGAAAATCGCAAGTTTCTGGTTCCCTACGATATCACTATGGGACAATTCATCCAAATTATTCGGAAACGGATTCAATTATCCCCCGAAAACGCCATTTTTGTCTTCGTCAAAAAATCTAACGAACAAACGTTCAACTTCTTAAACTTCTTCAAGCAATCCTGGACTATCCCACAACTGACTTTGACTATGGGCACGATCTATGCGGAACACAAGGATGCAGATGGTTTTCTGTATATAGCCTACGCTGGCGAGAACATTTTTGGTTATTGAAAATCATTCAATTTGAAACGACCTTCACGTTTGTCTCTCCATACAATATCTATTTGAAAAATGAGTCAAGTAGCCAAATCAAATTGAATAGTCGCCTATACAACATGGTTTAATTATGTTAAACATAAATCTACATTGTAACTTTTGTTTTGAATAAAGTCAGATATTTAGAAAATAAATTTACTCAAAAACAGTTCATTTTGTATTTTTCAAACGGTTGACACTAATACAGTGCTTCGGAAAACTGAGTATTTATCTGAGAATATCGACTGATCTTTAATTTCGTTATCGATGGGAAAAATAACAAAAAATAGCACGCTATAGTATATCTAAGAAAGGCAGACAATCGCCTTTCATCAAGATTTTGTGCTGGCAGTGGTTGACTGTTGCCATTGTCATGTCGGCATTCTTAGTGTAGGGATTGTGACAATATATTGAAATCGCTAAAGATACAGAATGCGTTCTTTCTCGAAATATTTTCCTACATAGAAATATATAGCTTTCTGGAATACCAAGTGATGTGCTCGCTTGAGCGTCGAAAGTTTACCATGTTGTTACTTTCATCATTTCTGAATGTTTTCACGATATTTTATACGTATCTTGTGAAATGCGATTCGAAATGAGTATTGAAATCGTCGAATAAAGAAAAAAAATTCTATACCTTCATACATAGAATATTTTATTTCAATGTCTAAAATAGTTTAATATTACTGAGAAACTGGCGAAAATCAGAAAATTTTCGTTGTTGGAGCCGTTAATTTAGCCTTCAGTCATACTTATTTTTCTAATAAATAATATATAATATATTTCTAATAGCTAGTAAAAATGTTATCGAATGATGTATGGTTTCGATAAGGAGTTTCATACATATTCTCAAAGTACTTTTCATATTCGATCTACTAATATATAAATCATTCGTATGCGTTAAGTATTAGGCGCCAAGTCTGCATAACCAGAGTTTTCTGTCTAGCTCTTAGCAAGCTCTTACATTGGTTCTACGGAAAAAAAATTGTAAAAATTCAATTGGATCGATTTCACTAAAAATCAATAACCCTCTTTTGAAAATGATGTCCTTTATTTCATTCATTAGTACTTCAACAGTTAACCGGATTGAAATAATGAATATAGACGTAATGTCATTTACAGTTCTATTGTACATACATAAATCATTTGGCGCTGTCTACTGCATTTATTTTTCATGAAGAATTGATAGCATTTATATACCTAGTGAAATCTTATATTTTTTCTTTCATTTCTAACAAACAAAAAAATTCTTTGCTGTTCTTATCAATCTTGTTTATTATTATTTTAATCTTTCTCTTACTCCCATAGTTAAAATCGAGTAACACACACACGAAAATAGTTCAACAATATATCGAGAAAAAAAATAGAGGCACACTGCTCATCAAGATTAATTAATATAAGTCAGTAAAGAACAAAAAAATGTCTATATAGAGTTCCGAAAATCGATAGGTTCAATATACATACTATACAAAAGAAAATAAATAGTGTTTCAAAAAAGAAAAGATAATAAAGTACGAAGCAAAAAAAAATAGTTCGACACTTTCTCATCGGATACGTATGTACAAACAAAAAGAAAATAATGAGAAAGATTTTCTTTCCGATCATTTGTTTGCCTTTTTGTTATAACCACCAGTAGAACTTCGAGCTCGTTTTGTTGGTGTTGAGTTACCATCATCATCTAATAAAAGAAAATAAATCGAAATCATAATTTATATCCTTAAAAAAAACAAATTTTCTTACTATTATTTCTTGTTGATTTTTTCTTTGAAGACATGGATCGTTTTTGTTTGCCTTCATTTTCTAATTCTTGATTATCATCAACTTCTTGTAATGCTTGTCGTTTTCGACCACTTTTAGGTCGTCCACGTTGTTGTGATTGTTCTTGTTCTTGTTCATATTCTGATTCTTGATTATCACTTTCTTGTTGTTGATTTTTCTTCTTACTTTTTGTTTTATTTGGTGAACGAGAAGTTGATTGACGAGATTTATTTTGATTTGATGAATTCTTTTTTTGACGACCACCAGATTTTGCTTTGCTTGGTGAACGTGATTGATTGTATTTTCGACCATCACTTTTTCCACTTTTAGATGATGATCGTGATCGATTTTGTGATGATTTATTTGATTTACGACGATCGACATTATTTTCTTGTTTTTTATTTGAAGATTTTGGTCGACCTTTTGAACCGACACGACTTTGACCTCGACCTCGACCATCAGTTTGATTTTGTTTTCCAGATCTTGATTGTGAACGAGACGAAGATGTATTACCAGATTTTTTACGACGACCATCATTTTGATTTTGCGATGATGATTCTTGTTGATTTTTTTTCTTAAATAAAAACAAAATCAAAAACATTTAAATAAGAAGATTATTTAACAGTAAAAAAAAAAATCCTTACTGAAGATGATGATCTTTTCTCATTTTGTTTTCTTCCTTTAGGCGTTATTCTGTAATAAGCATTACTATATCCAGTACCTATTATTAAACTAAAAAAAAATGTGAAATATAAAATAAGAAATTTACCTTGAGCAAGTATAATAGTACTTTCTTCAAGTAGTGCTTCAAGTGCAGAACGAAGATGACTCTAAAATAGGACATTGTTCTTACTAATTAATAATAATTGAAGCTTTTTTTTATAGAACTTACATTAGCATTTTTACCACTTTCGATTCCATAAGTATTTTTCATATGATTTAAAATTTTTGATCGAGTTGAACCTTTACGTGAATCAAGCTACATAACAAAAAAAGAATGGATTTTTTATTTCAAATTAAAAATCGAATATGAAAATAATTTACTTCTTTAAGTGCTTCGGTAACCATTCGTTGATAATTTGGACGTCGTGATGATTTACCATTTCGTTGATTCGTATTTTTTGTATTAGATTTTTTGGGTGAATTATTATTTTGTGATGATGATTTCGATTTACTCGAAGTCTTAGCAGACACCATGATCGGTTAGAATAGAGACAATAGTATGTGATATGTACTTGTATTTGTGTGTATGTGTGCAGTGTGAAGTTAAACAGGATGAAATGAATCGATAGACGAAATAACTTTAGTTAGATTCTATTTCTATTTAAAGAATAAAAATATTTTTTTCTTCATTATTATCTTTAGAAATAGTCGTCCATCATCGAGAATTGATATGGCGTAAATTCTACAATCGTCTAAACACACATGTGTGTTTAGACCTCGATTTGAATAAATTCGAAAAATAGACAATGGATATATTACCGTTATATGGATAACCGTCATCATGGAAGAAAATTTAAATTATCTGATACTTGTGAACAACTTGATTACAAATAATATTTCTAGATTCTTTTTTTTGCACTCTAAAATAGTCAAATAAGAAAGAAAACTTATGTTTTATATTAATATCTTAATAAAGTTTGAATTCTAAAGAAAAAGAAAAATTTCAAAAATCTTTTGTCATTGATTGTTATTACATGAAAATGATTTTTTTTTAAATCGTATCACTTATTCTTCGATATTCTGTATGAATTTGTTTGTAAAATTTTTCTTGTCAATTTTGAAAATATTAATAATAAATAAATTGAAGATTATTCTATTAAAAATAAAAACGAATTCTATAATACTGTCTTAGAATTCCATGTAACGGTTTGTATATTCTAATATTGTTCGTTTTTAAATGGAGTGTCTAAAACAAGATAAAAGTATAATTCTTAGTATTTACAAGAAATTTATATTAATCAAGAACATTAATATTTTACAGTTCATATAAAAACATAACGTGTCACTTCTTGCTTTTTAGATATGAGAATTTTCTATAAATACACTGAGTCGTATCTAAGTGTGCTTTTCTCTTTTTACATTATTATACAAATCCAATCACTTTTGTTAGTAACATATCCTGAAGCTATAGCTTGTTGAATATAATAGGATAATTAATATTCAATGCAAATTTGATTTTATTAAGTGTATATTTTTACGATAGAAGATAAGATTATTGATTTGAATAGATAAACCAAATAAGAGAACATATGTTTTTGATAATAAATACCTTTCTTAGAAACTTAAGAATATAATATTATAGTTATATTTTATTTTTTAATGAAATGAAAATTTTTGTTATAAGAAAAACAAATAGTTTTATATAAACGGTTGCATGCTCTGTTTATGAGGTTTTTTATACTTATTTATTCCAACTAGAATAATCCCATTATGATTTTGTGGTTGAATATTTCGTTTTTGTTCTTTTGTATTTGTTGTTAATAATTTCATTGGTGTTCGTTGTTGTTTAGTTGAATAAATTAGATTTTGTTCAATATTTGGTATTGAACGTTTATACCATTTCATATAAATCTGACAATGAAAATATCGTCGAAATAAATTTACTAATTCTATTCGAAAACGAGCACATGAAAAAATAAAAGCTAAAAAATTTGAAGCATGATGAAAATGAAGTAAAATATTTGTAAATATATGTATTGCATATTGAACATTATTTATTTTATTTGTGATCATTATATATGTTGCATGTATTGTTGATGGTGTTGCTGTTAATACAAAACATATTGATGATGTAACAAGCATTGCTGTTAATTGTCGTTGTTTACTTGATAGATCTAATTTATTTGTACCTATAAAATGATTAGTTCTTAAATTCTCATTATTTAATGTACGTTCAATGCGTGATGCTCGATGAAGACGTTGAATTATAATAAGATTACAAATAATACATAATGGCACGGTAAACCAATATGTTAAACCAGATTTAACACATCCCCATGTTAAACGATGAAAATTAGATTTATATGCACAAAATGAACGTATAGCAACTGTTCGATTAGATTCATAAACATATTCAATATGCATATTTTCAGCATAATGACTGAATATTAGTAAAGAAATAATAAATAATATTAGCACAAGTATACGTGATTTAGTACGACTAGTTAAACGTGGCATATGGCATGGATTGAATACTAAGGAACAACGTTCGATATTAATAAAACAAACAATCCAAACGGATAAAAGACGAAATACATCAATAAGAAAGAAAACGACACAATCATATGATGTTACTTGTAGATGAAGTTTAATTACAATGTGTAAGCTCTGTAAACATAATACAATACAATCGGCAATTGATAGGGCTGATATAAAAGCAGCTGAAGCAGTTTTTCGGAAAAATTGTTGATTAACAACAATTAATGTTAAAATATTTCCCGTACATCCAAATACGGTTAAGCACAACAAGGCAATTGTACGAACACGTTCAAGAAACAACATCTACAAAAGAATATAAATACAGGATTAGAAATTCTATACTTTTTTTTATAAACTTGCGATCGGAAAAAAACATGATTAGAGTATAGCGTGACAGATCGTCCCGGGGACATAAAAAGTGAACAATGTCAATCCTTCTTATTTAACAAATCTACAGTGATGACAAATTCCCTTGATGCTTTATTCGGCAAAAATAAAAATATGAATAAAAAAGACGGTAGATAAATAAAACTACCAACACCTACGCAACATACTTTTCTCTTTCTGCTATTGTTTTATTCCACATCATTTCCAGGCTTTTATGCGCGAAAACAATTGTATTGCCTCAGAACATGCATAACGCAACATACGGGAATTGGTTCTATTGTGTGCAAGATGTTTATATGCTAAATGTGTGGGCGTCAAAAAATAAAGAAGAATCATAAATTAATTTATCATTATACGTAAAAATCAAAAGTACAACCTAACACTATTTCTACTGAATCTATTGTTTTAAAATGTATACTTGTCTTTCAAAAAAGATTAGATCTGTTTCCGTTGACTTTTCCCTTTGCATGAATACTCAAAAAAATAAGAAAAAAAAAAAAAATCTTAGCATGTAGTCAGGCAATCTATTCAATAAAGCGAACGAACGCAATTCTATTACCGGTTATCGATAATAGGCATGCTTAAGATTCTAAAGACTGATCTTTGAACGGTATTTTTTTTACCTACTATTTTTTTTCCAAAGGTCTTTTTTTGCTTCCTGTTTTTCAGACTTTTTTCATGAATCAATCAATGATTCTAACATGTCAGCTATTACTCATATTTGGTGACACATATAAAGAAATTCTTTTTTTTGTATGTGTGCATCGCTACCTGATAGTATGACCACTTTCTCGTGCATATAGAAACACTCGGATGTACGAATAATCGTTTACTTTCACATATTGTGCTTGAGTATTTCTGTCATTCGTCGTTAAACACCATTATTATATGTTACTGAATGCTTTTTACTCGGTTTTGCCGAGCATTACAAGTGATTAAACATGTATAGAGGGAGAAGAAATGTGTTGATGATATATCTATAAATATATATATCTGCAACGATGTTTTATGCATTCCATAATTCTATGTGCCCAGTATATTAAGAGAAAATAATCAATCTGCCAAAAAAAAATTATTCATCAATTTCGATGAAGATATATACTGTTATTCAAGGCACAATCATAGTTGTTCTTTTTTTATTTTTGTATTTACGTCGCCTACGTCGTCTCTTGAGAACTAAATGATTTTTTGATTGTATTCATTTAATGACGAAATATAAAGGATGACAGCAATTGTGTCTTTTTATTTATGTCATTTTTAATTACTACAATAAAAATCTGACAAATTTTGGTTTGGTTTTTAATTTTCATAGATTGCTGTAATGATTCCATTGGTTAATGAAAACTTTTTTTCAGACAATGTATGACTAGCTTTTTAATGTTCAGTTATTATTACATAAGCAATATTATAATGAATGATGATTTTTAATAGCTGAGAAATAATTGAAAAAACGCAGCAGTCAATATTTTATATTCAATAGAGAAAAACAAAGGAACAATCGAATGCATACATAATGTGAATTAATTCTTTTGTTCATCAAGCTAGTCTATTTTATAAGCAAAACTTCTTATAAGAAGATTATTATGCCATGGAAAAAAAAATACGGAGTTCATTTTTTCAATGTCTTCAGTGAAAAATGTATTAAATCTTTTGATACTATTTGCTGTTCAATAAAAATAAAAATATAAACTTTCTATCCTGTTATTTCAACAGATATTCTGATGCAAGTAGACCATGTTGCTTTCTAATCTATTGCTTATCTTTAATCGTTTTATTAATTATAAAAATTGATATAAAAAAAAAATAATATTTATGGAATTGAAATCAACAAGAAAGAAATTAATAACACATGGACTAAAGTTTTGAAAGGATCTTAAGATCAATTCTATAGGATTTTTTGGAGATCTATCATTACTACTATTAATCAAAAGAAAAATCGATATTAACAATAATTCATTTTATAATATCTACTCACTTTTTAAAACATGATCTTAGGAAAAAAAAAAGTAATAATAATAATCGAATGTGACGTTAGTATTTCAATATTATTAAAAAATCATAGAATAAAAGGCTTTTTTTTTTTTTTACATGGGCGGATTTCAAAGTAAGAAACATGTGTATACGATAAGCTGTTTTACATTATCAAATTGTTTAGCTTAAAGAAGAGATTTTATTATTTTGATGGGTAATAGATTAATAATTTGAATGTGAATATTTTTTTCGGATATATATTAATCTTCAATTTTAATTAAATAAATCATTATTACTTCGTATTTATGTAATATTTCTTCAATAAAACCTTGATCTCTTACAATTAGTTATACTTTAGTTCACTGTTTTAATTAAATCTTTTTGTATTATAATAATTTATTTGAATCAATTTATTTCGAATATTTTGTATTTTTTCTGTTATCTAATCAGGCATACATTTTTTTTTTTTTCGTTTTAATTTCCATAAGAATATTCTTTGGTCGTATAGAAACATTGCATAGTTAATTTTGTTTTTAAAGAATATATTCAATCATGTTTACAATACAATATTTTTGTTTTGTGTGTTCTTTTCATTTTCATATATGAAATTACATGGATAATTTGTTGAATATAATAGAAAAATCATTCATCATTATTATATTCATTTATGCAGATTAGTTATTAGTTCCAGATAAGATACTTTGACATACGAAGTTTTATTCAAGATATATTATGTTCAAAGTTATTTTCAAATATTCTTACCTCTTTTTTGGGAATACGAAAAAAAAACAAACGAACAATATTGATAGTTGTTTTATTACATCGACCAATGTTGAAATTATTTCTCATGAAACTATCATAAATATTTTAACTATTCATCGCTTTTATATCCAGACAATTGATTTCTTTTTGTTTTGCAGCTGTTCGACACTTCAATAACATCGTCAAAATCAATCAAAAATAAAGACATTGAAATATCTTTTTTTTGCATTCATAAAGATTGAGCTTGACAATTTCATGATTTTCTATCATGAAAAAAAATTCAATATTCTCTCAATACATTCTCAAATGATTGCATTCATAGACTTTCAAAAATTGCTATATCAAATATCTATTTAAAATAGACACTAGATTCAGCAGAGGAGTGAGTCTATTTGAGCATGGAAATGAAGCCGGAACTTATCATTTCTTTTTTCTCAAAAAAAATTGCGTCCGGTCCTGACTGTCAACTTTTATTATACTTTTGTTACTAATCTGACATCGACGAGTGTTTAGAACGATAACAGAGCTGATGCGCATATTCAAAGAAGAAAAAAGAAAACTTTATTATCAATAATATCATGTTCAACCGAATATAATTTTCAATGATTTCTTTCGAAAAAAAAAATTAGTTAAGATTTGTTGCATGATTAATTTTGAATAACAAAAGTCAGAAACAATATTTGAAGTTATTCTCGATCTTCTTTGAATATTTTTTTTTTAATTCTTAAACAATTAGTTTAGTTTAGTTCATCGTGATTATTAATTCAATCTTGTTTTCAGTCAAGAATTTTCTCATCAACTCGTTTATGAAATGAAAAGATTCATCGCATTCTTCAATTCAAATATTCTTTTTTTTTTCCATGAAAAATAGAAAGAAAGAAAAAATGATTCTCTATTTGTGCGTATTTATGTGCTTTTGTCGTATACAAAGAGAACAAAAAAAAAAAAAAAAAAATACAAATGCAAAAAAGAAAAAAAATCCATATTTTTTCTCTTTTTGTGTTGTGTCTGTGTCTATCATACAGGACGAAGAAAAATAGAGAGCATAAAATAGAGGAAAAAAAGGAGTGCATAATACACCCACAGACATACACACACGGAAGAGCATCGATAAGAGTAAAGAAGAAAAAGAAAGAAGAGATTGTGCGGTTGCAACAAAACAACGATCCGAAAGTCGCCAGTATCATCATCTTATTGTTATGGGTAACAACAGAGCGACAATCTTTTTGTTTTCTATACACACGCGCACGATGAAAGAATAAGATAGAAGAGAAAACGCATGAAAGAAAGAAAACCTTCGTTGTTCGTTGTTTATCCGCAGTAATAGTAGTAGTAATAGTAGTAGTTGTTGTTGTTGTATTTCTAGCAGCAATAGGCAATAAGAACCTTGAGCTGTATGCATACATACATATACGCACAAAGAGAAGAAAAACGGAGAGAAAAAAAAATAAAAGAAAAAAAAAAAAGCAAAAAACGAACGATAATGGGTAACAAGCATCATCATATCATCTCAACAATTGAATGAACCAAAGAGCAAGGGATAAATTTAGAAAGAAAATGGCAATAAACACTCGATTTCGATAGATGACATTCTAAACAACAATAAAAACAAAATAAAAATTTAATCAATGTCATTTCAGTACAATCATTAAGACATAATAATAAATATTATCTTTACACATATATATGTACCTGAATGTCACCACCACGATCGTCCGTTTGTACTGATGTCTCTTGAGTAGATACATGCATATTGGTAGTGATAGTTGGGCCAGTAGCAGGAGTATTAGACTGAAAACATGCACATGCAAATCTAGTCTTAATCGCTCGAGATAAAAATCTATAGCTCATATATATATATATATTCCCATGATAGACTTTTATTATTGATCAAAGTCAAGTAACTTTCTTTCTTCTTTTTTCTTTTCTGTTTATTATTATTTTGATACTTTTCTTTTTTCTGACATACGCTAATATGGATGTGATCGATGTTAATCATCAACAGCAGTTGACAACGCTAAGGTCTAACGGAACGAATAATCGTTTCTAATTGAAGATAGTAATAGAGAAACAAGACAAGGAGAAAAGATCAATAGCAAATGGAAGATAGCTTCGGTAAATGGAAAATCTAATGGCTGGGTTACAATGATAGATTAGGTAGCAATCGTCTGTCTATTTGCTTGAAAATAGGATAAGCATATTTTTTTTCTTTTCTATTTATCTATTTATCATGACTCAATAATGTGTTCAAACAATTATTCATACATATGCAATCATTCGACATGCGAAAAATTTCTTTCATACCTGTAACAAAGTTTTAAGACGACCAAAAGTAGTTGAATCACGATCACGTAAACGTCGCAATTCTTCTCGTCGTTGAGAACCGAGTATCGTTGCTTCTTCTCTTGATATACCTAGAAATAAGGAGAAAATTGTTGTTAAATTTCGAAAACAAAAAAAATTTTCTTTTTTAATAAACTTACTAGGAGCTGCTTGACGTTGTCTAGCAACAGTAACAAGTGTTGGCATACTACCACGTTTATTTCCACCGGTACCACTCATAGTTGATGTTGGTGCATCAACTTGTGTAACACTTTCGAGAATAATACGACGAGCAAGAGTAGGTGAACCACTACTGCTCGTCATCACAGTTGCTTGTGGTATTGGTGTACCACTTTCTGTATAAGTGGGTCCTAATTCAGTGACACGTTTACGTATACCATTTTCAATAATAAATGTTTCTTTTTCTTGTAAATTATCACTTGATCGAGCGGTTTCATCAATTTTATAATCACCAGGTTTAGTTTTAACAATACTCGGTAAAGATTTCCGTCTTGGGATAGGAATTGGTTGTGGAACCTCATATTGTTCAACTGTAAATGTTTTTGGTGTTGTTGATATTGATGGATGATTTTGATTACCTAAATAAAATATATGATGTTGTTCACGATCAAAACTTGTACCAAGTGAACTTAAACCTGAATCATAAACACTTGAATGGGGAGAATCATGAGCACCGTGAATAAGATTATGTCGAACACCAGTATTACTAGTACTAGGTCCAGACATATATGGTGATACATTTGGTCGAAGACCGGATGGATGACGTATAGGTCGAGGAGCATGAAGATTTGACGACGGCTGATTATATTCATGCTGTTGTAATTGATGATGATGTTCAATAAATTGTTGTGGATCATGAAGAAGATCCTCGTTTGATGCATCGACACGAGTAGTCCTTTTAAATGTATTTCGTTTAGATGTTGAGCGTTCACCTACACCGACGGCATTCTGTACAAATTGTGAAGGAGATGATTGTGATGGCGATACTGAATTAAAATTCGTACGATCATAATCATAATTTAAATTGTTTGGTACTGAAATATCGGTCGATAATGGTTGAGTGAAATTTGAATGATGTTTAGACACGGATAAACCTAGAAGATAATTATTTTAATATGAATCGTAAAATTTAGATTTTTGTTGAACATTATTCTTTCTCTTTTTTTTTGCTCTTTTTTTGTTTTTTGATAAAATATCTATTTGCATTGAAAACTTCTAAAATAACATTTATTAGATCGAGAATAGAACTTGAAAAAAAAAACCAGGAAATATTCACATTTCCGAAGGTAATGTTCCGGAATAAAAATGTTCTTGAAAACTTTTGTTTTACTGATTGTATTTTCAATAGTCTTTAATTGTTCTGATAAATTTTCAATAGGGAAGATAAAAAAATCATTTTTTTATCATTTGTTCTTTTTATAATGAAGAATATTTTTTTTTGTTTTTAGTTGTCTAGTAGAAAATGATTAATGTTTGATCTTTGTATTTATACTATAGATAATAATCATAAAAGAACGATAATTATTCATAGAATTATATAGGAAAAAACAAATGAGTCAAATCTGTTTCTATTTCTTTGTTGTTGTTTTTTTTTGCTTTAAATACTAAGTTTATTCAAGAAGATTTGATTTAATTTACAAACTTTATCTATTTTAATAAAATTTCTAATACGATTGTAAAAATGTTGAATAAAATAGAGAATCATGTTCATGAAAATGATACTCTATATGCTTTAAATTTTGATTGTTTACAATTATGAAAGACAATTATTTTGTCAACGACAGATATTTCATTTTACGCGTGAATCCAAACCTGTACGTAGATCGGGTGTTTCATTATAGAGTGTTGTTGGCATAGCTTTTTGTGGATGATGTGGTTGAAGTTGATTAACATCACGATAATAATCTTGACGTTGTTGATGCATAGGAATTGTAGAAGATGATGATCCAACATTCTAAATTAATTGTTTTTTTTTCTTTCTAATTAAACAGTTGGTTTTTAAAATGAATAATTTTACTTTTGTATTTGGATTCCAATTATTGGCTTGTGTTGGTGGTTGACCTTGATAAACTCCACCATCTAGTGGAAATGATGGAGATGCTGTTGCTGTAATTGGATGAGATTGAGATATATGTAATGGTAATGGTATTGAACTATTTGGAAGATAGTTTGATGACATTGGTAAACGACCATTTGGTGGACTGACATTGATATGATTGCTTGGAAGTGGTTTTCCATCAATTTGTCGGTCAATATCTAATGAGATGAATGGTTGTGGTTTTTCTTCACCTAATAAAGAAAGAGAAAAAAAACACAACAAAAATAAGATTAATATATTTTTATTCGTAAGTGTTATTTTTATGCTTTATATTACCTGGCTGACGAAAATCAGGAGCAGCTGCTTTAGCAGATACTCGAGCTTCTACACTATCGTTTCGAGCTTGTTTTGCATAAATTTCAGCTGAATGTGCTTTTGAACGAGCATTATTTGCTCTAGAATAAGAATGTTTTTAATATAAAATAACATCAATTTTTGTTGTTAATAAACTTTTACCTAGCCATGGCAATTTCAGCTTTTTGTTGTGCTGTTGTTGCAGATTTCATTGCATGATTTAGAGCAGAATCAATTTTATCACGAAATTTAGATGAACGAAGTAAGAATAATTTACTTGGTTTACGTTTATCGGTTACCAAAACATTATTTTTGTATTTTCCCTCCTCCTTACTACCATCTCGAAATGTTGTAACTCCATATCCATTCTTCTTATTATTAAACCATTCACCTTCATATTTTAAACCATCTGAACGTTCAGCTATACCAAATCCAGTACGTTTATCAGCTTTCCATTCACCCATATATGTTTCAACAACATTATTATCAAGTATATCATCTTGAGATATAAATGAATGATCACCATCATCTAATGTACCAAATGAATTGGGTGTATTCGGATGTGATGATATCATTGTAGCTGTTTTAACTGAATGCTTTGAATCACCACTGACTGTACTTGCTGTTGAGCGAAATGAACTTGTCTTTTTTGTTATCGATAAATCTTCAATATCACTAGTTGATTTTTGTTTACGTAATTTTGATAGAAGAGTTTTACGTAATGATGTACGACGATCAGCACTATTTGATAATGAACCACGACGTGGTCCTTGACTAGCACTACGAGATGATGAATCATGTGGTTCAGATCTTGAACGTAATACAAATCCACCACGATTTTCATCCATACGCTTGTCTCGTTCACCTAAATAGAACAATTACAAGAACGAAAAAAATATTGTTTTGCTTTTTATTCTAATAAATTTCGACATGAAGCAAAAAATGAAAAGATATTACAATACTCACGTTGTGTTCGTTCATCATCTTCTTCTGAACGAAGTGATGTTAAAGAATCGCGTACATCTTTTGATCGATAACGTGATGCAACACCATATGGCACACTTCGTCGAATACCAAAACCGTGGCGCAGTCCTTGCTGTATCTGACCATGATAAATACCACCATCTGCATATATTTCAACTCCATATCCATCTTGAAGGCCATTTGCCCATGTGCCTTCATATCTAGCGCCTGAAATATCCGATACACGTATACCATATCGTCCTTTAAAGCCTTGTGTCCATTCGCCTTTATAAATCCATCTTCCCTTTTTCTCAACACCCAATCCATGTCGTTTTCCACTCATCCATTGTCCTTCATATGAGTTTCCTGCCGGCTATAATAATAATAATAATAATAATAATAATAATATAAATGTATATTATAAATAACAGTGAGCTATTTGAAAAAATATAATTAAAAAAATATAATTACCCATAAATAGATGCCCGAAAATTCATAACCATATTGCCATGCACCCGAATATTCACCTTGACCTTTGGGACCTGTACAAACACCGTGTCCATGTGCTTTACCATCATTCCACCCCCCACAATAGGTACCGCCGTCATCAAAATCGAAGCGACCTCCATTCACTCCGACGTTCATTCGGGCGTCCGTTCAATGATGATCAACAGTGGCGGCAATAGCAGCAGCATCGACAACGACGACGAAGACGACGATGTCGATGATAGTAAAAGAAGAATATTGAAAAAGAAGAAGTGGTAGGGGGTCACACAGAATTGTTGTAATAGCAGTAGTAGTAGTAGAAGAAGGAGGAGGAGGAGGAAATGAAAAGGACGACGGTGCAACTATGATGTTGTGAAGAGTAGCAGCAAATTTGAATGTGTTGTCTTCACAAGTCGATCAATTTCCAGCAAAATACGGTGATGCACAATAATGCTGCCATGTGTGTTTGGGCTAAAAATACTAAATATAAGTAAGTAAAAGAAAAAAAAACGGAAATCGCACACAAGAAATACACAAGCACAGTATTGCCCGAAAGACAAAAAACCTCGATCAAACACCCCCCTCCTGCTGCTTGTTAGCGATATTCTGTAGTCGTGTCACACATATTGTTTTTCTTTTTTTTTACCCTCATCTACAAACATAAATGTAGACAAAAGAAAAACATGACATGAGTTTCACATACTCAATCAGAACGATAGGAATTTTCTAGTAGGAACATTGTGAGAGGAAAAAAAAACAATGAACTTCACAGATTTTCTGATCACACACGTCATTACTCATCAACTGTCAAAACAGTATTTTTTTTGCCTATTGTCACAAAATAATGCTAGTCGTGTCTCAGTTTCAGCGCTTCTCTTTTTGTCTATTGAAAAGAAACTATCTATACTTGAAATTGCATCACAATACAAGCCCGCGTGCATAGAAAAAGATTACTCAAGACAACGATGGAGGACGATCAGGGAAAGAAAGAAAACGAGAAAGAGAAGAAGAGACTTGGTGGTCTCCAAGCTTTGTGTTGCACGCGCCTGTTTATTTATTTTTGCTTTTGGGTTGTGAGCGCATTACACACGTTGGATTCTCTCTCTGTTTTTTCTTTTTCACAGGCAGCAGCAGGCAAAGAAGAAGCAGCTAAAGATGCAGATGAAGTAAAAGAAATAGAAGAAGAGGAAGAACAAGCAGAAGCGAGGGACGCAGGAAGAGTAATACGGAAGGAATTGTCGTCGGTCGTCGTCCTCGACTGATTGCAACGCAAGCGTGTGGCACAATAACGCGAGAACAGTGCGAGTGTGTGTGAAAGAAGAAAAAAAAGAGCAAAAAATAGAGAAATATTAAAAATACTAATAAATACGCTACATATACGACGAGACCGACGACGAATGACGATCTCTGGAATGCACATAAATATACAGCAATGGTAGTAAGAGCAGAGAGCAGAACAACAACAACAACAACAACAACAATAACAACAACAGACGACGATAACGATGAGACTGTTGTTGATGATATAGCACGGTGATAGAAGTATAACGACAACGCGTTTTCTAGAGGAAGATGGACTCTTCTCTATTTCTCTCTCTCTCTATCTCAATCTCTTCGCTCTTCTTTAGCAGAATATATGTGGTTGGATGACAAAATAGATAACTTGGCATTCACTAAGCAGAAGAAGTACTAGTGTTTCCTTTCAACCCATTTCTCTTCTTTTCCCTCTCTTCAACACATCTTCTTTGACGCTCTTCCCGTTTCAAGTGTGCACAGACACATACCGCATTTCTTCGTGTATCTGTCTATGTATGTGGCTGGCACACACATAAGAAAAGCATGTCATGCTTATTCGATGTGCTACTCTCATACTCATCAATGCCATCTAGACAAGGCTTATAAATCGATCGTGCGCTCGTTTGTTCGTTCGTTTGTTCCTTCTTTAATCATACTGTTAGCGAGAGTTTGACGAACATGCAAAGAAAGAAAACTCATCTAGCATTTTTTTTCCTATCAAGCACGCTCTCTTTCTCTTCTCCCTTGTTACCTGTTCGAACCGTCTCTGTCTCATTGTCACATCGGTATACAATAGGAGAAAAAAAGCATACTGATGGACAAAAAAAGACAATCTCTGTCTTTTTCCGCCTTTGATATGGGCAACAGCATAGCATTGGTATCAGGAATTTTTCCCGTCTCCTTTCTATCATAAGTCAAGGTTGGACATTTGTGGCATCAGAATAGAAAGAGAAGAAAAGAAAAGACGGGCATGATAATTTGAGCAAGGACATCTCATGGATCATTGATAAATGCACGATGGGTAAACTCCATTAGCAGTTACGCCAACGATATCTGTCGTCTCTCAACACAATCGTATTCAATATAATATCAAAGACGAACATTTCATATTCTTAATTATCACAAATAACAAATATGTATAAATTTGTTAGATCAATTATGGGTCTTTCTATAATCTTCTTGATAACAATAACCTTGAACATGCTTGGAATGTTCATTTTCATAAATATCTATATGTCATATGATACTTTCTTTTGTATATATGCAATACAACGAGACAATTGGGTAGATAGTTCATGGTGGATGTATGTGTGCGACAAAGCACAAGACACGGCATACATAAATGACGGCAAGAACAATCTTTGAACAAACAAAACGAAAAAAAAACCGAAAGAAAGAAGAGAAAGATATATAGGATGTGCACACGTACAGTTGCTCACTTTGCGTTAAGCTTACGTTGAGAAGTTCACGATCATCATCACCTCCTTGTACAGATTCATCTTTATCTTTTTTTCTTCAAAAGTGCATATACAATGAAAGTTTATTTAAATATGATATAAAAAGAAAAACCTTTTCTTCTATACATCACAAGAATAATTCATCGTATCTATACAATCTTCTTTACTATTCTGTTTATTAATTTTCAATAAAAAAGAAAGAATTTCTTCTATGATTCACATGTTTTCAATTTGGTTATCATTATTGATAGTTCAATCAATCAATATCATCATTGCAACAAGTTTACGTTGTAATGAAGATATCAATGGATCTTTTCATGTGATTGAAAATTGTCGATCATGTGTTATTTTTATTGCTCCTGCAACCTTACCTACCACTAGTACAACAACAAAAACGACAATTTTATCAAAAAATATCTTTACGTCATATGGTGAACCATCATTAGAAGAATTGTTTTTATTTGGTGAAGCGAAACGTCATCGTCATCGTCGCCGACGTAACGTTGATACAATAATTCATCAACAATGTGCTCGAGAATTAGATGGTCCATTATATGGTTATGATCAAACACATTGTTATTGTAATTCTAATCAATGTAATTCCAATATTCAACGATGTATTTATGAAGTAACATCAAAACGTCATTTTGCATGTTATCATGGTTCAAATTCCAGTGTATATCCACTTGAAATTCGTCATAAATGTCGTAGCTGTCGTATACTTACTGAATTTAATTCCATATATCATTATGAATGTTTAACATTTGGTGAACGTGAACAAAATAATCGAACTCATTGTACATGTCAACGGCCAATGTGTAATCAAGATATATCAACATGTCAACGATTTCAACAAGCACCATCTCAACCACGATTAAATTTAGCTCTTGATATTCTTTTGAATTCAACTATATCAATAACAACAACAATAATAACAACAACAATAACAACAACAACAATATCTACTAGCACTTCTACTATTAAAATATCCAGCACAACAACAACAGCAGCACCACCACCACCACCAACAACAACAACAACGACAACAACAGCAACAACAATGACAACAACAACAGCAAAAACAGCAACAACGAACACTACTACTAGTAGTAGTAGTATGACTACCACTGATACTACTGCTAGTACTAGTACTACAGGCTCAACTGCAAGTTCAACTACTCTTACTACTACTCTTACTACTATAACTACAACCTCAACGATTGTAACTACAACATCGTTTGTTACTACAACACCAATCACAACTACGTTGCCAGCTATAATCGAAACTGAAGAGGAAATTTCAATTGAAAATTCTACAATAATTGAATTGACAAGTACAAATGAAATAACAACATCATTTAATGAAATACAACACCTTAAGACAATGCATATTGAAGCTAAAAATCATGCAAATTATTTATCATCAATTTTTCTTTTAATTTGTACTTTATTTCAAACATTTTTTTTCTTTTTATTTATTCGATGCGATCACTAGTTTTATCGCTTAGACAGTGTACATACATATATAAAAGTATATATCAGTAAAAGATATATTTGAACAATGAAAAAAGCCATTTACAAGGCAAAAATATATAAGCGTGGATTTGTTCATTAGTGAACAACGAACGATTGATCCCCATCTAAGCTATGAAAACAATGTCAATAGTCGTACAGCTATTCTTAACAAACAAATAATGTCTATCGACTTGATTCATTTATATATAGATATAGTATACTAATCTTTCGTCAATTTTGATTTGAATGCTCAAGTTCAAGCATGAAAAGAAAACAAAAGAGATTTATAATTGTTATGAGAAAGGTATTTATCTTTTTTGATAGCAATAACAAGTATTGTTCAATTAACAAAAATTTACTAATAGTAAAATATCCCTTCTTTTTCGATTAATAAAAAATTATCAATTATCGTATAATGCATATAATTACACTGTCTTTTTTTTTAATATCATAGAAGTACCGTAAGGAAATAATTAATTTCAAAAATAAATTTTTTCTTGCTATGAGAATGATTTTTATTGTAACCTCGAGTATAACAATGAATAGACTATCTTAGGAATATTAAAAAAAAAAAGTATAAAATAAAATATTTAAGAAATATTGTATTATTCTGTTATTCATTATTGAGTCTTAGAACATAATCAGCATAACAACATACTAGAAAATAATTTTACTTAAATAAAAAAACATTTTTCTCTCTCTTTTCTTTTTCTAACAAAGTTTGTTTGTTCAAGACAGCCAGAAAAGTTCTTTAATTTGCTTTGTATGAATTATTTAGTCTATAAATAAAATCTATCTTTTATTCCCTAGTTTAATTCGTCATTTCCATCTAGCTTACAGTCTTTTTATACATCTCCTCTATTTATTTAGTCTAAAGTCTATAATATATATATATATATATATTAAAGCTTACGTTTCATTAATAAACAATCAATAAATAAGAAACTTACGTATATATATATATAACAATCGTTTGATAAGCTTGCTTAGCATGAATAGTTTCTGTAATTTACTCGAACAAATTTAGATTTAAGTTTAAATTCTCGTGACTGTATATATGGGCATATTCTACTTTTTACATTTTTCTATGAATAATGTCACGTCAGCACATATTAGATATTAGCACATCCGCCAACTCTATTTTTATTTTTTTTTGATTGTCAGCAGTATGACGGTATAGTAACATCATGTTATATAATAATTGTTTTGAAACTCTATTCTTTTTTTCTTTGACATTCTCGCACTCATTAAATTCTTTTTTTCTATGATTAGTCTGTGAACATTATGCAAATTAGTTTTCTTTTTACTATTTATTCTTTGATATATATATATATATATATATATATCATATAAATGTTGAAAAGGAAAATATAATTATTATGATATTATTTAGTTTAACTAGAAAATATTGATGACAGTATTCTGATGTTATGTGACATGCCTAATGTGATACATTAGCGTCATTTAATGTGTTTGTTTCAGAGAATGTTTGATTTTTTTATTGATTCTACGTAACTCTATGAAAATCAAACAATTTATCAAGTTTGGTTTGTTTAATCATAATTGACAAATGATATATGTTTGTATATTTCTTATATTTGAAAATAAATCTACATGATACATTTACAAAAAGAAAACAACAATAATATGAGTCATATACATAAAAAACATTCGAACAGCAGCTACAGATTTCTAGATTATTTTATAAATTCAAAAACAAAACATTTAGGTATATTGTGTAGTTGAATCATTTGTTAATACGTAATGAATATTTTTTTTTTCTGTATATCTATCAAACGAAAAATTACACGTTGAATTTAATTAGAAGTAGTTGAATTTATACTTGTTTTGATTCTATGAATATATCTTCAAAGCTAGAAAAAAGTTTTGAATGTAATTCTTGTTGAATGACTGAATTTTATGATTCGGAATGCATGAAATCCATGAGACTCCATTTAATCTTAAATAATAAGTGGTTCCAATGTACTCATATGTAATGGTGTGCTCTGTGCGGAATACTGCAGAAGTAAGACTGAAGTAGTTTGACTTACGGTTTTTTAAGATCGGATTTTGACTTTATGAAATTTATGTAGTACTACTGTGGTAAAATTATAAACTATAGAACTGACTTTGCTTCATTCATATCAATAGATATATTTTTTCTAGTTTCTTTTTTATCTCTTTTGTAGATGTTTGTAAAAACACGAACTTTATATCTGATCCTAAATATTTTTTAATACGAGATAAAACTTTTTTACGACGGATAGAAGAAAATTATCATCATACTGAATTTCCAATGACATTAAATAAAGCAACAAAAAATAATAAATATATGAAATCATGAAATTAATGTCTTGTTGCAAGGACCACAAATAAATAGAGTATCTAGAAAGAAAGAAATACTATTGAGAATGAAAAGTATTCTACTATGAACCTATCTTCTTTATTTTAAGATCAAATTTTTCTTCTTCCTCAAGGCTACTTAAATGACTATATTCTACTTCAATGAACAATAAAATGCAAATAAATGTCACTTAATTAAATTAATGTCACTTTCTTTTCTGTTGAATCGTGGTCATATCTTACGGCATCAATAATTCTGCTTTAGAAAATATCTGCACAGACATGAAAGTTTATTATAACTAAATTAATTCATTTTTTTCAACATTCAAAGCTTTTCATGTAAAGATTAAAGAAACAAATATTGATGTATAATCTTATAAATATCAGTATTATTACTCTACGATAATACCGCAAATATAAACATCATATATACATGTACAGATCAGTTAAAGAAAAAACCTCGAATGATATACGTCAATGAATAATGTAAAAACAACATAGTTATGGATGATATGTAAAATAACGCCTCTAGAGTAACCGTATGAAAGTTACCCTCGCGATGAAATTCCCATGAAGATTCTTCTTACCTACAAGCAAGTATTTAATTGAATAGTTACTCGAAATAACCTCTAGTATCTTTTTATGAGTAGCAAAAAAAACGGATACGTACGAATTGGAATCATGTTTCAGAAGAATGTAATATTTTTCTACTTAATTATAATATAAGAATATAATTGTAACTAATTTAAGTAAAGAAGAAGTTGTTTCGTGCCACACTCAAATTAACAAATGTAGAATATCTCGCATGTAATTATTTTATTTCCTTAAAAAAAAACTAATCGAATCTGTGGTATTCATGAATAGATCAAAAGTTAAAAGCACTCTTTCGACCTTTTCTATTTTTGAGGAGTATACATTATTGTGTATTTTCTTCAAAATGCATACTCACTTTTCGTTTTTTTTTAAATTAAAATCTATTTTCCATTGATCAATATTTTGAAATTTTTTTTTTATCGTGTCTACTTCATATTACTACGACAGAAATTTATTTACAACGCTTTTATAGATGGATGCTTCTTCATATATCTAAATAATTGTATACATTATATATCATTCTATATTATTCTATGTGATATAAGGAAATCTATATGTTATAAGAAGTCTGCTAAAGAAAAACTGTTTGACTTATCGATCATTTTCTCTTTAATCATTTGAGGACCAAGTCCATATATATAAATATACGGTTTCGAAATCTGACTAAATGAAGAAATCCTTAGATACACTAAAATTGAAATTTTTATTATTCAGTATAGTTCGTCATTGTTCATCGCATATTTGCTTTATAAAGCCAATGCTGAAAAGAAACTTTAATTTGTAGATTATCATTTATATATACATTGTTTGTAAAATCTTAGGAACTTATAGTGTTCTAAAATCTACAATAGGTCGTCTTGGATTGACTTATCAATCAACTAGATTTACTGCTAGACACTTTCCATCTCGTGTATCTCACATAACAAATAGGAAAACTCTTCAGAAAATTTTTGTTGTTGTATGAATACATAGTAGTCGAAGAAAGAGGGCTGATTCGCGCTATATAATTATGTAAAGATTGTAATGGTAGGTTTTTATGCTGTGAGCTGTTTCGTGGAATTTCATACTTCATTACATTTTTAGTTGTTTCTTTTTTGCATTAACTTTCCTTCTCATATGTCATTGAATTGTTGCTTGTTATACTTCTTGGATGTATGTTATATTTCTGTTGTCAAGAAATAAACATCACGTATTTTTAGCATTAAGTCTGGATAAAACATTTATGAATGATACTTTTCAACTATAATTGATTTTGTAAGTGAAGATCATACTTTTTTTTGTGTAAAAAGAAAGTTGGTTCGCATGAGATTAAATATGATATTTGAGTTAGACACTTTTGAACTTCACTTATTACTAATGATAGACCAAGTGAAACATCTGTATTCTTGCGTATTGAAATGATGTTTTTAAGTCATGACTTAGTGTTAAAAGTAATCAGATGAAATATACATATGAATCTACTCTTTGATCCATTATCTTTACTTTGATCTTCATCTTGATAATTAGACTTGATTGATATTTTTCTAATGAAACTAACTATATGTATATTTTTCTTTTTGGGATACTATAAATAATGGCATTTTTCTTATTAATGCTAATCTGTATACTTTTAGTAAAAGAAAAACAATTTAGTTCGTTAAAGAACTGTTTTTCTTTTACACATTGTGCTAAATCAATAGATACATAAGCTTATCGGTTTTTATTGATTTAATCATTTTTAAGAAGACTGTTCGCTTACTAATTTTAATAATTATTGAAAAAATTATAAAGACATCTATGAAGATTTATTTCTGATCTTGCATGACACAATTCATGTTATTGAAAATAATTTAAAAGACACTAATTTTTTATAATATTGTCTATATTGATAAATTTTAGTAATTGATAATCGATTAGTTTGATATGCGGCATGATTATTTCTGATTGTACATAATAACAATAATTTTTCAATACATTCTTATAGTTTGTCGAAATCTGTGATTTTTTGATCTGATGATGTCGCCAGATCGAGTCAATTGTTTGTCGCATATGTATGATTATTTTTTGATGGTTCTTCATGGACAACATAAAGAAGAGAACAAGATTAATGTCTTCCATACATCATTATATTGTCCAAATAACATACTGACAAATATCATAGAAACATAAAATTATGGCAAAATCTTCGAAGTTTGAAGATTATTGGAGACAAAACAATATTGAAAGTTTGTTCAAAGAGTTGACACATGTTCTTGTACAACGAATGCCATCTGATCCAGCTGTTGCTATTGTTCAACATCTTCAAAAAAAATTTCCAAAATCATTCAAAACATCTGCAGACAATAATAATAACAATAATGCTGGTATGATTTCGAAAACTGCGGCAACTAATTTACAGTCACAACCGATTACTTCACCACGTTCGCCGGTCAATATAGAAAATACAAATGAAGTAGACATGCGAGAACGCCGTGCATCTAACCAAAGTCAAATTAGTGGTAGTGTTACCATACCAACAGCTGAATCTGCTTTTCGTGGTTTATTTAAACATGATGTAAATATTGTTTTTCTTTTTCATGAAATGAAAAAAAAAAACAAAGACTATAATTTTAATTCATATATTTCTTTTTTTTAGACAACTGATTCAAAACAAGCACCAGAAACAAATTTAAGAAATCTTGTTTTTGCTAATCGTTTAAGTCAACAAGCTGTTAAATTAGGAAAAGATATTCGATCAGATCGTGATATACTCGAAGAAGAACTTCTTAAACCAATGAAAAGCAAATCAAAAACATCATCAACAACAGATGCATCAATCTATTCTGTTTCAGAAGATTTTCAATATGAACAAACACATGAACAACCTTCTGTACCACAATTAATTAAATATAAACAACACATTCGTGACGAAAATGATCGTCGTCAACATCGAGAAAAACTTGCCGCAATAGCTAAACAAGCACGTGATAGAGAACAAATCTTACAATCAGATACTTCTACAAAACCAGACGAATTTCAACAGAAACAAAGATCAAATGATGATAGTGGATTACCTCAGAATGTATCAGAAAAAAGTGATACTAAATTAATTCATAAATCATTTGTTAAATCGAAAGAAGAAGAAGAAATATTGAATGATGAAAATATATTTCAACCTAGAAGAGAAAGAAATAGAGAAAGACCGCGAAATAGATTAGCAACACCTCGTACAAATGCACCTTATACACGTCAACAATTTATGGGAAGAGGAGATACAAATTCGATGTCTTTGATACCATCTGATGGTATATGTAAAGTATGTGGAAGTATAATTAATAATGATGAAAATCCATCAAAAGTTCATTCTCAACAAGTTTCCGGTAGGTTCATTCCTTTTTTTGTATCCTAACTTTGTACAATCTTAATACAGATTAATATGTATTATCATATTTATTTTAGCTATGCAACCAATACGTTCATTCGAACGTCACTCAACAACACGATCAGTAGAATCAAGTGTTGGTGCTGTCGATGATTTCTTCGAACCAACATTAGATGTATCCACTTCGCAACAAATGTTATTATCGACACTAGATGCTATAACACCACAAGCAGTTGATACAAATCCATTTCAACGAAATCGTTTTCAACCAATTAAGAATAATAATAATACAGATATAGTCGGACATCGTCCACCATCAACACCATTAATCAATAGTGATAATAAAACAAAGACTAACCAAACGAAAACACCACGAATGTCGGAATCTGATATTTTTCTAAGAACATCTGAATCAAACGATCGTTCTTCACCATCATCTCGATATACATCATCACCAGTAACAAATAAACATCAACGTGATACTACTGATGGTACTAGTCATCAGTTATCAAAGACTATGACAAATTCATCACCTTCACGACAAGTTTTCCAATCAAATTTAGCAACAACAACAATTATTCCAACTAGACAACGACGAACGTCTGGTTGGAGTGTATGTGAACATTTGCCTGATGATTCGGATGAAAACTAATATTTCATAAATGCAAATCTATCCATTTTCAGAAATATATGGTAGTGCTTGAACACACAAAAAATAATGATAATAATAATGATAACAAAAAAATATCTGTCTTTACACACCTACACAAGTTTCATTCGAATCTACCAAGAAATTAAAAAGAAGACAAAAAGACGCAAGAAAAAAAAATAGTAAATATCTGAAGAAAGAGAGAACAATAAACATAACAAACTTATTGAGAAGTCAAACACACGCACAAACAGAAAATATTTGACAATGAATAATACATGCATGACATAACAAAAATGAAACAAGAAACAGTTGATTTGATTTTTGTTCATGTTAGACGAACCATTTGTGATGTACTTTAAAACACAAAAAGATAAAATTGAATTTCAAAAGAAAAGAAAATTAAATCAAACTTACGTTTGTTTAGCAAAATGATTTCGAAGATTTTGAGGTAATTGAAGTACTGGTGATTTAGCTTGAATTGTTAATGTTGATGAAGATTCTAAATAGATAATAATTTTTTGTTTTTGTTTTTCATATAAAAATTCTTTTACCAGAATTTTCTGCATCTTGTTCAAATATTTTCATATTTGAATTATCAGTTGGTGATAATTGTTTTTCAATATTTGGTGATTTTCTTTTTAATACAAATCGATTTTGTTTTGTTGGTGTAATCAATTTATCAATTGAATTGTGACTAATTGATGGTGATAAATTATTATCATCATCATCATTATGATTATCATTATTTGTATTCGATCCTTTAAATTTTTTATTAGTANTTTCTGCATCTTGTTCAAATATTTTCATATTTGAATTATCAGTTGGTGATAATTGTTTTTCAATATTTGGTGATTTTCTTTTTAATACAAATCGATTTTGTTTTGTTGGTGTAATCAATTTATCAATTGAATTTTGACTAATTGATGGTGATAAATTATTATCATCATCATCATTATGATTATCATTATTTGTATTCGATCCTTTAAATTTTTTATTAGTATTACTTGATGAAAATTTTTCTTTATTCGATGTAAGATTTTGATTCTCATTTTCATTTATTGCATCAAATATACTTGTTTTCGTTACAGTAGATGATGAAAAAAATCGACTACATGTATCATTATCGTATTGATTAAATAGAAGTGGTCGTTTAACGACTTCAATACTTTGAATTAAAGATGTATGATATTCAATAGATGAAGAAGGATTTGTTGTAATATCAATTTTCTTTTCATTTGATATTGGTAAATACATATTAAGAATAGCTGAAGATGTTAATGCATCAGATGTTGAAATAGATATTGAATCTGTTTGTGGACGAATTTTTCTTGGTGGTGATGGTGTTGAAAGTATCTGTTGATTGATTGGCGTTGATGTTAATGAAAATGGTTTAGAACGAACAGCATATTCTTTACTCCAAATTGATTTAAGATGTGCTGGAGTATATGATGATGATGATTCAGATGAACGATACTAATAGAAAGAAATTTTTTCTTTTGTTTTCGAAGAAATAATTAAATAATTATTTACTTTCCATTGATTTGGATCAAAATTATCAACAATACATTTTGTTTTTACATTTAAATTTCCAATTGCATGTTGAAATGCAAGTGGTGTATGATCGATTCTAAAAAACAAAATAAAGGAAGATATTTTCAAAAAAATTTTTTTTTTAATTGTTAAAGTACTGGCTATTCAAAAGTTGAGCAAAATTTTTTTAGGTTTTTTCACCGATTTCAACAATAGCTTTTTAGCGAAATTAAGAAGAATTATGTTAAAAAAAACACATAGAAAAGTCTTTAAAAATTGAAATATATCAACAGCATAGAGTTGTAGTAGCTTCAATATTTATGCAAAGCTTTGGAAAAAAATATTATTTCATTGTTGAATAAAATCGACTTCTTCAATATGACAACAAAGTGCGATAAATATGGGTTCCTTATTTAAAGACTCTGTAATGTCAGAATTTCATTTCCACATGAAACAAACATCATAGTCAAAATCAACAGGAGATGCTGCATCGTATAGTATACTCAATACTTGAAATAAATTGCCATGAAATTTCGACCTTCGGTAAGCATAAATCAGATGATTCAAAATAAGCAGTGAAGAAGTATCAGAACAAAAATTTGTTTTAAATATTGAATACTATATTCGTTTCATTTGAAAATGAAGTTCTAGTAATCAACATTTCTTGAAAAGGAATTCGTATGTATAGTGTTTTGTTATTATGTCGAAAAAAATTAGCTTTCCAAATCATATAATAAGTAAAATCAAGTTAACATTCAAAAAAATATTTTGCTCATATTTATAATAACCGACATCTTACTAACATACTGTCCAGCAAATTTTAATTGATCATAATCAACATCATCTGATAATGGATTAAGTGGTACTTGTTTTCTTTGTATAGGATCATAGACAATTTGATGAAGAAATGCCAAATGTGCTCGTTTAAAACCTTTGATATAATCATCAGTTATACGAAGATTTAATTTGCCAAGATTTTGTGGTAATTGTTTAAGAATCTATTTCAAAAAAAACATAAACAAACAAACTAATATTTAAAACAAAATATCATGTCAAAATTACCAATTCAATATTTGTTACTTGAGTTCTACTCATAATTTTTTTTGCTTTAACTAAACCAATTCCATTTATATTTTCAAGATAATCACATCCCGATAAAATACACATCCAACGAAAACGTTCAAAATTATCAAGACTAAATTCTTTTTTCAAATCAAATTTTGTTCTTTCAAATAATTCACCATTTCCTTGATCATCAAGTTTAAATAAAATCTAAAAATTATACAATATTAACAAAAGAAAATCTGCTTGTTTTTTTTTTCTTCTTTTGGTTACTAACATGATGACAACCAAAAAGAACAAGATCGGAATCTTCTGTTATAACATAATCAGCTATTTTTGCTCTATTTAAATATGCTAATTGTGCATCCGCTTCATATGGTGCAACAATAACATCAATGCCCATAGTTCGTAGAGTCTAAAATCAACCAACTTAATATTAAAATAGAAAAACAAAAAGTAAATTTTATACTCGAATAACATTTAAAACCATATCCGGTGTAATTTCAATAGCTTTTTGAAAAAATTGTTCAGCTTCACGAGTTTTACCATTAGCAAGAGCTTTTTGTCCACGTAATCGATTTCTTTCACGTTCACTTTAAGCAAAAAAACTCAAAATGAATTGTTTTAAATTAATTTCAATATCTTAAACATACTCGCTACGATTAATATTGGTTATTCGTTTCGCTGGTAATGGTGAACCATCAAAAACCATTATAGGTTTTATATTCCAATCAAGTAATCTTTCAACAAATCGTGTAATATATTGAACATATCTAAACAAAAGAAATATAATTTATGTCATAGTATAATTTAAATATAGAATTATTTACTTATTAGTCGATTCATTTTGTGCTAATTTTCCAGCACATGCATAAGCACCTCGATGAAGTAAAAAACTTGTATCAACAGCACATGTTGTTCCTTGAAATTCAGCATTTTTTATATTTACACGATGTATGGCTGGTTTAAGCAATGGATGAAGACCTTCAATTCCCATTGAGGTATTCTTTTTTTTTT